CATCCTGCCCTGCTCCAGCCCAGCTCATCCTGCCCTGCTCCAGCCCAGCTCATCCTGCCCTGCTCCAGCCCAGCTCATCCTGCCCTGCTCCAGCCCAGCTCATCCTGCCCTGCTCCAGCCCAGCTCATCCTGCCCTGCTCCAGCCCAGCTCATCCTGCCCTGCTCCAGCCCAGCTCATCCTGCCCTGCTCCAGCCCAGCTCATCCTGCCCTGCTCCAGCCCAGCTCATCCTGCCCTGCTCCAGCCCAGCTCATCCTGCCCTGCTCCAGCCCAGCTCATCCTGCCCTGCCCCAGCCCAGCTCATCCTGCCCTGCTCCAGCCCAGCTCATCCTGCCCTGCTCCAGCCCAGCTCCCAGCCCATCCAGCCCTGCTCCAGCCCTGCTCCAGCCCAGCTCCCTGCCCCGCTCCAGGGTCCCCGGGGGCTCAGTCTCAGCTCCCTGGGATCAGATCATCTCTGGAGTTTTCTCCTCGGTACCGGAGCACGTGGAGCTGCCGGTGCTCCCGGTGGGACGGGCCCTTCCCAGGCCCGCAGCAGCCCCTTGGGGATCCCCCGGCTCCGTGCACACTGTCCCACCTGCAGGGCTGGCCACAGCCTGGCGCTGGGCTCCACACACCTCGCTGTCCCGTCACCCCAAAACAGCCTGTAACACCCCGTAACAGCCTGTAACACCCCATAACAGCCTGTAACAGCCTGTAACACCCCATAACAGCCTGTAACAGCCTGTAACAGCCTGTAACACCCCACAACAGCCTTGACAGCCTGTAACACCCCAAAACAGCCTGTAACACCCCGTAACAGCCTGTGACAGCCTGTAACACCCCAAAACAGCCTGTAACACCCCATAACAGCCTGTAACAGCCTATAACACCCCATAACAGCCTGTAACAGCCTGTAATACCCCATAACAGCCTGTAACAACCCATAACACCCCATAACACTCCATAACACCCCATAACAGCCTGCAACACCCCATAACACCCCATAACAACCCATAACACCCCATAACAGCCTGTAACACCCCATAACAACCCACAACACTGCATAACACCACATCCCATCCCATAACAACCCATAACAGCCCATAACACTGCATAACATCCCATACTACCCCATCCCACCCCATAACGACCCATAACAATTCATAACACCCCATCCCACCCCATAACACTGCATAACACCACATCCCATCCCACCCCATAACACCCCATAACACTGCATAACATCCCATACTACCCCATCCCACCCCATAACGACCCATAACAATTCATAACACCCCATCCCACCCCATAACACTGCATAACACCACATCCCATCCCACCCCATAACACCCCATAACACTGCATAACATCCCATACTACCCCATCCCACCCCATAACGACCCATAACAATTCATAACACCCCATCCCACCCCATAACACTGCATAACACCACATCCCATCCCACCCCATAACACCCCATAACACTGCATAACATCCCATACTACCCCATCCCACCCCATAACGACCCATAACAATTCATAACACCCCATCCCACCCCATAACACTGCATAACACCACATCCCATCCCACCCCATAACACCCCATAACACTGCATAACATCCCATACTACCCCATCCCACCCCATAACGACCCATAACAATTCATAACACCCCATCCCACCCCATAACACTGCATAACACCACATCCCATCCCACCCCATAACACCCCATAACACTGCATAACATCCCATACTACCCCATCCCACCCCATAACGACCCATAACAATTCATAACACCCCATCCCACCCCATAACACTGCATAACACCACATCCCATCCCACCCCATAACACCCCATAACACTGCATAACATCCCATACTACCCCATCCCACCCCATAACGACCCATAACAATTCATAACACCCCATCCCACCCCATAACACTGCATAACACCACATCCCATCCCACCCCATAACACCCCATAACACTGCATAACATCCCATACTACCCCATCCCACCCCATAACGACCCATAACAATTCATAACACCCCATCCCACCCCATAACACTGCATAACACCACATCCCATCCCACCCCATAACACCCCATAACACTGCATAACATCCCATACTACCCCATCCCACCCCATAACGACCCATAACAATTCATAACACCCCATCCCACCCCATAACACTGCATAACACCACATCCCATCCCACCCCATAACACCCCATAACACTGCATAACATCCCATACTACCCCATCCCACCCCATAACGACCCATAACAATTCATAACACCCCATCCCACCCCATAACACTGCATAACACCACATCCCATCCCACCCCATAACACCCCATAACACTGCATAACATCCCATACTACCCCATCCCACCCCATAACGACCCATAACAATTCATAACACCCCATCCCACCCCATAACACTGCATAACACCACATCCCATCCCACCCCATAACACCCCATAACACTGCATAACATCCCATACTACCCCATCCCACCCCATAACGACCCATAACAATTCATAACACCCCATCCCACCCCATAACACTGCATAACACCACATCCCATCCCACCCCATAACACCAACAGCCTGTAACACCCCGTAACAGCCTGTGACAGCCTGTAACACCCCAAAACAGCCTGTAACACCCCGTAACAGCCTGTGACAGCCTGTAACACCCCAAAACAGCCTGTAACACCCCCTAACACCCCGTAACACCCCATAACACTCCATAACACCCCATAACAGCCTGCAACACCCCATAACACCCCATAACAACCCATAACACCCCATAACAGCCTGTAACACCCCATAACAACCCACAACACTGCATAACACCACATCCCATCCCATAACAACCCATAACAGCCCATAACACTGCATAACATCCCATACTACCCCATCCCACCCCATAACGACCCATAACAATTCATAACACCCCATCCCACCCCATAACACTGCATAACACCACATCCCATCCCACCCCATAACACCCCATAACACTGCATAACATCCCATACTACCCCATCCCACCCCATAACAACCCATAACATCCCACCCCATAACACCCAATCCCATCCCGTCCCACCATCCCATCCCATCCCATCATCCCATTATCCCATTATCCCGTTATCCCATCCAGGCAGGTTGGTGCTGCTCTGGCTGTGGGGCTGTGCTGGCTTTGGCTGTGGTGTGGAGCAGGGCAGGGCCTGGCGCCGGTCCCTGGGTGCCATGGGGTGCTGTGATTTACTCCTTGGGGTGCTGTGCTTTACTCCTTGGGGCACTGTGATTTATTCCTTGGGGTGCTGTGCTTTACTCCTTGGGGTGCTGTGGTGCCCTGGAGTGCAGGAAATCACACCTGGGATGCTGTGGGGTGCCGTGCATCACTCTCAGGGGTGCTGTGGGGTGCTGTGGGTTGCTCCCTGGTGTGCTATGGGGTGCAGGGGTGCTGTGGGGTGCAGGAATCACTCCCTGGGGTGCTGTGGGGCGCAGTGACTCCACCCTTGGGGTGCCATGGGTTCAGGAATCACTCCAGGGTTCTGTGGGGTGCAGGAATCACTCCCTGGGGTGCCATGGGTGCAAGTGAATCACTCCCCAGGGTGCTGTGGGTGCAGTGATTCCATCCCTGGGGTGCTGTGGGGTTCAGTGAATCACTCCCAGGGGTGCCGTGGATGCAGTGACTCCATCCCTGGGGTGCCCTGGGTGCAGTGAATCACTCCCCAGGGTGCTGTGGATGCAGTGATTCCATCCCTGGGGTGCTGTGGGGTTCACTGAATCACTCCCTGGGGTGCTCTGGGGTGCAGTGACTCCATCCCTGGGGTGCTCTGGGGTGCAGTGACTCCATCCCTGGGGTGCCATGGGGTGCAGGGGTGCCATGGGTGCAGTGACTCCATCCCTGGGGTGCCATGGGTGCAGTGAATCACTCCCCAGGTTGCTGTGGGTGCAGTGACTCCATCCCTGGGGTGCCATGGGGGTGCAGAAATCACTCCGGGGGTGCCATGGGTGCAGTGACTCCATCCCTGGGGTGCCATGGGGTCAGGGAATCACTCCCCGGGGGGCCGTGGGGGCAGGGACTCCATCCCTGGGGTGCAAGTGAATCACTCCCCAGGTTGCTGTGGGTGCAGTGACTCCATCCCTGGGGTGCCATGGGGGTGCAGAAATCACTCCGGGGGTGCCATGGGTGCAGTGACTCCATCCCTGGGGTGCCGTGGGGTGCAGGAATCACTCCCTGGGGTGCCATGGGTGCAGTGACTCCATCCCTGGGGTGCCATGGGGGTGCAGAAATCACTCCGGGGGTGCCATGGGTGCAGTGACTCCATCCCTGGGGTGCAAGTGAATCACTCCCCAGGTTGCTGTGGGTGCAGTGATTCCATCCCTGGGGTGCTGTGGGGTTCAGTGAATCACTCCCTGGGGTGCTCTGGGGTGCAGTGACTCCATCCCTGGGGTGCAAGTGAATCACTCCCCAGGTTGCTGTGGGTGCAGTGATTCCATCCCTGGGGTGCTGTGGGGTTCAGTGAATCACTCCCTGGGGTGCTCTGGGGTGCAGTGACTCCATCCCTGGGGTGCAAGTGAATCACTCCCCAGGTTGCTGTGGGTGCAGTGATTCCATCCCTGGGGTGCTGTGGGGTTCAGTGAATCTCACTCCAGGGGTGCCATGGGTGCAGTGACTCCATCCCTGGGGTGCAGGAATCACTCCCCAGGTTGCTGTGGGTGCAGTGACTCCATCCCTGGGGTGCCGTGGGGTGCAGAAATCACTCCGGGGGTGCCATGGGTGCAGTGACTCCGTCCTTGGGGTGCACCACGGGGCTGCCTCAGTGCTGCTGAGCACCCCAGGGTGCCCCTCCGGGCCAGCTCTGTTTTCAGGATCACCCCAGCTCTCGCTGGCACTCGGCCCCCCGAGTCCCCCAGATGCCGGTGGCTCCCGGAGCCGTGGCACGCGTGGCCAGGCTCTCCTCCCGCAGAGGCCAAATATTTCACCCCTAAATTACAGCTCCGGGGATGAGGTCAAGGCCACGGTGGTTTGGGCACAACCATCTGTCGGAGGCGAAATTGCGTAGCCCGGGGACGCCCACCGTGTTCCTGCCCCCCCGGCAGCAGCACCCACGCTGAGGGGGGCTCGGGGGGCCCCCCCCGCCGTGAGTCAGGGGTGGGGGGCGCGCAGGGTGGGGGTGACTCACGGCCGCCGCTCCTGTCCCCTCTGAGTCAGTCCCGGAGTTGTTCCCTGCTGCTGGGAAGGAGGAGGAGGAGAAGGAGGAGGAGGAGGAGGAGGAGGAGGAGGAGGAGCGCGGTGGTGGCAGTGACTCAAAGTGACAACAACAATAATAATACGCTGCGGCACTTGTCACGGGAGAGGCGCTTGGCCGGGGTCCCTTGGCGCGTCCCCACGGCCGCCGGCGCACGAGGGACCCCGGCCAAGGCGGGGGGTGTCACCGCCGCCGCGGGGTCACCTCGGGACGGCGTTGGGGGGGGGGGGGCCCGGGGGGCC